AAAAAAAAAAAAAAAAAAAAAAAAAAAAACAAAAAAAACAAAAAAAAGAAAAAAAAAAAAAAAAAAAAGAAAAAAAAAGAAAAAAAAGATAATTACCAAATTACCTTCCTGAAAGATTTCTTGCCAAGCTTCTAAATTCATTCCATTTATATTACTACAATGTTTAAAATCCTGTGGAAACTTTCCAAGTTGAAAGGCATCTACTGGCACATCAGAAATCCCTGTGTTGTCACAAATCACGCGAGACAAAGAGTGTTTTTTGAGTTCATTCTTTTGAGCTTCAGTGAAAACATTATCATTTTCCCACCAAAATCTGGAAAGGTTGATAGAAATGTTTTTAAACGATTACATTCAAATAGCTGATTACTCTTACTGTCAGAATATCCTACATAAGAAGAGACAAAAAAAAAAATAAAATAATTACAACAAAATGTAAGTGGATACAAGAATCATAAATTGAAACTCCATAATCTGCAGATTTACATATCCATCTTACAAGACACAGGAAGGCTGTTGTGAGTCTGATGTACTAGTCATCTTAGGTGGTTTGTTAAAGTAAGATAAGTAAAACTATTAATTAATTCACATGTGCTGAGTTGCTTGTAGCCACAAAAGAATGTTGCAGTACTGAGAGGAAAAAAAAAAAAAAAATTGATGCAAATTATTTGAATTGGATACTTAATCTTATGTAAACCAGCATTCTTATGCATTCGTAAATTGTTTTAAACATAATTACAGGAGAATCACAGCAGTAGCCATAATAGATACCATAGTATTTGAACTTTTCTTGCCATTACAGAATGGTTGCTATGAAGTTATTGCTGAGTGCTTCTCTGTATAACATGGAGCTCTTCATTTGCTAGGAAGTTGTAGGTATGTAGAATGCTTATAGCAGAATGTTGTCATAATTGTGTTTTTGATCACAAATTAGAGAAAGGAGCAGCTTCTTCCTCTTGGTCACACCAGCAACATGCTGGCAGAAGGAAAGAATCAGTTGGTGGAAAGGTGTATCTACTATATGTACACGATATATATATGTATATATGCACATGTACAAATAATTATAAAAACAATAAGAGGCTTAGTGAGAAAGTGAAAAGAAACATTGAAAAGGAAAAAAGATCAACAAGATATTATAAATTTTATAACAAAGAAAGGGATACTCTATGAAAGATCACAGAGACTGTGTTTGTTGCAGTTTTACACATTAAGACGTAATGAATAGAAAATAAGATTTTTGTAGAGTTTGATAGCACATTTGTATTTATCCATGTTAAGAACTGCTCTATTGCTAAAATAATTCCCGGTGGTGCTCAGGACAGATGGACTTTTCCCTACTGCTATGCAAGATCTGGACTAACATGACCTAGAACCACCACCTGTGGAGTGTGGATGTGATCACCAGTTGGTCTCAGATTTAACATAGGACTTGTTCATCTGTAATACTGGAGGAAAAGCACTGGGATTTCTAGAGATGTCTGTAATTTTAATGTTTACATCCCCCTGATGAGAAGGAAACCACAATGTTGGCTGTGGGCCTTGTGCAAAACCTGCATGTACATCATGTGTGAAATGACAAACCTTGCAACTGTTTAATGAAAGCGATAAGCCTAATAATCATTTCTGTGCTGTGGGAAACGTAGGGGCTGTTAGTGTGCCCTGGAGGCTCTTCAGGACTAATTTCGCTTTTCTGCTAACAGAAGTCTACTCAGAAGTCAAAAGCCACTCACATTCAGGAAACTCACTTAAATAAACTGTGTATGTGTGCAATTTTTCAGAACCAGCTTTAGATAGAGGCAATTAGTTACCTACAGTGGGACAGTCTGAAGAGACAACTCTCCTGCTTTCCTACTCTGTTGGAGTAGGATGAAATCTACATAACCAAGGATAGGTCAAATGTTGCACAATACAGAAGCACTATGATAAGAAGTATAGAAGAGAGTGGGGGGCTGGAGAGAGAAGAAAATGTGTTTTCCTTCTGCTTCCGACATACAGTGTCCCCAGACTTCTCAGAACATTCTGAAATGTCACTGACTGTTCCTGGACCCCTTCTTATAACAAAAGTCATTAAAGGCTTTGCACTACTCAGCTCCCCTACACCCTTCAGTTTCCTCTTTCATAAAAAGCTGTTCTACTTTCATCAGAAAATTCAGTTTTATCTGCACTGCTGAGAAGGTTTGAGCAGATCATTATTTTTAATCCACCCAGCAGCTAGATGATTGCTCTAACAGAGGTTGCTCCAGCAGATCTGTAGTGAGTCATGAAAATTTTACAGGTGAATTTTGCAAGATCAGAGTAGAAAAAAAAAAGAAGAAGAGGAAGAATATAAATAGGGGCACAACCCTCTTTGCTAAGAATGTACAGACAGGTACAAAGTCATTACCCTGTTATTTCAAACCCTGAGATCAGACAAGGATTCAGAGCAGAAACAGAAAAGAAGGTAACAGCTGATGAAACAAAAACTATTGTTTCCAGGTGATTTGGCTGAAGTCAAGATAGGCTAAGGTCAAACCCAGCATAAGGGCCTGGGTTTATTACACTGGTGAAAGAAATCTTTTTTTCATCAGGATACTGATAGTAGATTTTAAGGTTATGAGGATGGCATTCAGTCAGTTAAATTGAAATTCCTACTTACTAACATGTATGTTTATCTAACAAATATCTCGTATGCTTGTAGTGCTACCAGTGCAGATACAATATCCAACGCATTATACAGCAAGCCACTGCAATAAATTTTGGACTTTTTCATTCTTATGCTTACTCTATGACAACTGCAATAAATTGTTACATACTCTTAACTTTCTTCAGTATCATAGTCTCAATAACCGAACATTTCCCACTTAAGTTAGACACAAAATTTATAGCACGAACTTGAGGTGTTCTTTTACTGTTAGAACTAATCTTTTCTCAGTTTAAAGATAACACATTAAATTATGCTTAAGTCTGATTAATGTTAGTAGCACTAACTGGATACACTGGATAAAAGAAGAAAGTCTGAAAGGGTCTCAATAGATCATCGTTCTCCAGATAGAGTTGAGGATGCCATTGCAATTCAGAAAACTTACAACCATATTTTTGCTGCAACTGAGTGGAATGTTTGCTGTCTATATGCCTTGTTTTAATAAGATACAAATTTTGATTAATATTGCTTTTTCCTGTAAGCTAATTAATTAACATTTTTTAAAGTTGACATTTAAATTCTGTTTCGAATTCTTATTTACGTAATGGCTTCTGTCCACTTCTGAGAGGAGTGTAAAGGTGAGCACAAGGGCCAGATGTACTTAAACACCACTGCTAAGGTGGTGTGAGTCGTTTAAAATTAGTCTTCTTATGAGACTTTAAATTGCTGCCATAAGTATATGACAAAAATGAAAAACAAAGGTTGGTTTTATAATTGCTTCAGGAATAGAAGTCAGAAAGATAAAAGCAGCATCTCAAACCCTTTTGAAGCCTGAAATAGCATTTTTTCTGCCTTCCTGATATGAAGGTAGAAAACAGACCACGGTGGCAGTCGTAGAGGACTAGGTGAAGTGACAGCCTCTTCTGGTGTGTCTGATATGGCAGTTCTGGGAGCACTCTGCATTCCTGATACCCATAAGACCAAGTACCCGGTGCTTTTATTTACCTTTCTAGGAAGCCTTCACTGCAACTCTCCTTTCTCTTACAGATTTTCTGTGAGAAATGTTGAGATCCTTTCAGTTAAGGATCCTCAGCCTAGTGCATCCCTCAGGGATTGGATAGTTAAGATTTGTAAATCCATTCACACAGAAAGACATGCGTTCCTGGCACAATTAACTGGTGCTGGCACCTTGAGTTTCCACCAGAATTTCAAAGTTGGGCATCTCATGTTGCAGAAACAATCCCTATGTCTGAATTTGAGACTACACAGATCAAAGAAGAATAAGGAAAGGTTTACCCAAAAAAACTGGAGAGACTAATGCAAAAATTAGGTATTGGCAGTGAATAATTTGTTTACAAATTAAACGTATGTTTAAGCATCATAATGCTTTACATGCTAAGAAGTATCTGTAAAATAACAGTTGCTGCTGAGTGGTTCACAAAAGATTCAGCATCATGAATAAACTTACCGATCACCATCCCTTAGTGCTTTCATTTGCTTTCCAATTAAACAGGCAAACAGGGGACCTGTTCTAGCACCTGGAAGAAAGTCTTCTACTAAACCACCAAGCCAAACATCAATATTGCTAGGATTATGGTACAATTCCATGATTTTTTCAGTAACTTTCTGATTAGTTATTATTGTATTCAGATCAGCTTGAGTTTCCAGTTTTGGTAAGCCACAGAATTCTCGCCAGTCATTATAACCTATAAATATGATGATTAAAAGGAAGATTAGATTACTATTAGGCATGATATTTGAAATTAATGCATTCAAAAGCACTGGATTCTGACAACCTTAATTACAATCATGGACAGTTATTACCAAAAATAGTCCTGCTGTTATTGTTTAAAATGATTAGAGAAATTACAGCAGGATTTGCAACTACAAGGTATAAAATATTACATCACTCTCATGAAGGAAGACAAGAATTTTAAGTTCTCCCTTATTTAAGCAATGCACATATGAAATAAAGGTATATAGTTTGAGCTAAAGCAGGCAGGAACATTCATTTTGTTTGGAGATTTTCAGATCCAGGAATAAACCCTGAATTCCATTAGCACCTAAAGTTCTTTACTAAGGAGATTGCTGTAGGACATGTCCAGTTCCCTGGAAAATATATATTTTTTCCAATTCTTTTACATCTCTGCAATTAATTTTCTCCATCTCCCAGTAAAGCTTGCATTTCTGGTCCTGGAGACCAAAACTTCTTCTCTACTCCTATTTAGCTAAGACTTTTAAACTCCAGGCTGGAGTCTGACTTCATTTCTATTGGCCAGGTCCATATTCCTAGCTACAGAGTCACACAGCTTTAACAGGAGAAATTGAGAGGTTTGTCACCCAGAAACATAGCAACCTTAGTTAATCAGTTACTTGTATTCTGTGAGTAGGACATCAGGCTCAGAGCATAAAAGTACAACTGCATTTGTTCCTTATTCATGCAGACAAGTGGTCTGATCAGGTAGGGGATCAAGATGCAGTTTTACAAAACAAATGAAAGAGTTTCTGCCTGCTTTGCAGAGGGTTGTTGCCTCTGCATTTAGAGGCTGTGGCACAGTTACAGGAGGATTTTACACAGGACTGTGAACATACTATATGTTTTATCAGCTGCTGTAATTAAACTCCAGCAAGCTCCAGCAGTCTTCCTCTAACTCTGTACACCCATGGTCTGGCGGGCTCATGGTCCTTGACTGTTAGTTCAGCCTTACCCTGGGCTAACTAGAGTAAGAAATCCAACGCAAAAAGTAGGCACAAAAATGTAATATTTCTAAAAGTCAGGTGTACATTTTCTGAAGTCATTAACCACTCCTGGAGACACTGCAACTCCAAGTAGGTGCTGCAGTCAGAAAACCCCACTCCTCTGCAGCTGAATCCTGCAGGAAGGAGTCTCAGGTGCCAGGAGCACCCAGATCTACTGATCAGTATTAGTCTTTCACATTCCAGACTGCAGACTGGGGAGGTTATTTTAATTTCAATTGCTGGGGAATATTTTTTTTCCATCAAAGTTGAAAATAGTGGCTTATTGTGTTTTAAAGAGATTTATGTTTCCTATAAAAAATCTGTTAAGTAAAAACTTACAATTACATCCCAAATACAAACATTTGTATCTCTGTTGCTGATTGGAAGAAGATTTAAGAAAAATCAATAGACCTGGGAGTCCATGATCACGGCCACGCTGTAAATTCAGTGATGATAAATCAAGTGAACCATTGTTGGACAACACAAACAGCTTATCTGTTAACTCTTCATTCATCAGTTGACCTTGCACCTGCAGTTTTGCTGGATGTGCAAGAAGACCCCTTATCAATGGATCCAAGCCTCCTTCAAAAATAAAAATAATATGTTACAGCATGTATATAAACCACTATATTGTTCTCAACAAATGTGAATGCACGTATGCTTCTCTGTCTTTAAATGCTGGCCACATAGTCTTTTACATAAAAAAAAAAAAAGCAAAAATTTACTTAAGATTGAAATTGTGCTAATACAATGAAAATGTTCCACCTTCTTCATCAGGGATACAAAATTTGGCAATCTGATAATACATTTATCCACAAAAATGCAAACAAAAGATCAAATTTTGTCAGTCCATCAGGCTGTTTCAACCTGGAGAGTAATCTATTTTATTAAGAGAACTATTTACCTAAAATAATTGTTTCAGTTAGTATTAATTCTATGGAACGTGTTCAACAACATAAATCAGTGGTGCAGTTAAATAAATGTTTTTATTCCTAATTTAAGACCAGCAATGTTAAAGAGACTGTAATACTTATGGGAAAAGCAAACAGAACAAAATAAAGAAACACACAAAGAACAAAAACACAGTTTAAATAAAAACATACCTTCTTTAATAAGCCTCCAAGGACTAAAGAAAACTTCATGCAAATGAAGATGTGGGAGTTCTGGATCATCTAAATACTGTGCATTCAATCGCCTTACTATCGGTTGGATTGTTGCATGACCAAAACGAAAAGCAGCTGTTGCAAATACGTTAGAAACTGAAGGATTCACTGTGGGATCATAACCTTTATAAAGGCCAATATACTGATTGAAAGCATCTGGGCCAATGATTTTGGGAATATAATCTCTTAAAGTAATAATCTGAAGGAAAAGAAAGAAAGAAAAAAAGAGAAACATCATTCAGTGTTTTGATAGATGAATAGTAATGATTCCTGTGTACAGAATGCCTTTTTCATCACTCATTTGTTCACAAGCATGACTAACAGCAGTGTTAATTTGAAAGTAACAAGATGTTAGCACTTCTTTTTGTAGTCTGGAAAAAATGACAGGGCAAAACTAGTGGCAAAGTTCAGTACATAGTATACTAACCAGGTTCATTTAGCATCCTACAATAATGCTGGAGAAAGAGCTACTGGGCAGGTTACCAGTATTGCTCCCTTTCAGTTCAAGTGGGCAAATCCAGCTCACAAGAGCTCTGCGAGGATTTAAAGCCCGGGCATAAGCTGTGATGCCCATGAATGTACAGATTCTATTTTTAGGCATATATATTGGACACAAATCCTCTTTTCTGAATATTTAAAATGACCAGGCTTTAAAATACTGGTTCCAAGCATCCTTTAGTAGACATTTTATGCTAAAGTCTATAGACACACTTCAAAAATGAAAATGGTGATAAATACCTTCTGCCAAAAGTTTATGTAATATATCATTATGAAATAATATTACTATTACATGAAAAATATATGAGTACTTCTCCCCCCGAAAAATAAAAAGGTGTAATAAGATCTAATGCACCAAACAAAATGAAAGCTTGTTATAGCTTAAAGATTACACTGCACTCAATAAATCACAAAGGGATGAATATCAAGCATAGTGAATTCAATAAAATACATTATAGATTCAATATAGTGTGCAAGAAAATACAGAGAAAAATGTACTTTGAGATTGGTGTAGAGGATATTGTAAGGTTAGCTGTCACAAAATTAGGAACTGAGAAACTTGTATCTTTACTTTAGGCATGAAAAAGAGGCAAGAAATCCCTGGCAGAGTTCAGTCACTTTTCTCATAAGATAGGGGTAACATCTTTATATTTGCAGGTATTTGAGATTAGGTCATGCAATGAACACAATATTTAAAGACAGTAGGTGAGGAGTCCTTTTAGAGCTCCCTAAATACAGCATAAAACAAAATTCAAATAATTGCTGGAAATTAATAATGACATTGTCATTTGAGCAGTTAAGCTTTTGCTATATACACAAAGATTTTGCAAGATAATTATTTCTAAAATTAGATTTAGTTAATTTTTACAGGCAAGATATGGCACATTGTCTTATCATTTCAGAGGGCAGAAATACAGAATTTCAAAGCCTGGTTCATCTTGACTTGGGGTCGTGTGATTTGGAAGTACAAATGAGGCAGGTGTAATAAATCAAAAGCATGGGTAGAAAGGGATATAAGTACATCTTAAAAGCTGTGCAAAGATCTTAAATAAGGTTAGATCATCTCTGATATGATAAACATCCTGGTATGGCTTTTTTTTTTTTTTTTTTTTTGGCTCTTTTTAAATGAAATCCCAAGCTAAGAAGCTCATTAAGGCTGGATTGCCCAAACAAAAAGTCAATTCAAAATTTTAATTTGCTCCAGGGTCAAGATCTTAATTTCAGATTTCCTTGGCAGCAAAAGAGGAATTGTTGTTTCAAAACACGAGAATTAAAAGGAAAAAGGTAGGAAGGAGTCATACACCTGCTTTCAACTAGGCAAGACATATATACAATGGAAACTTATGGTTTCTAAATAAAGCTCCTCCAAGTAGAGATGAGTTTTAGACAATACGGACTAAGATGATACAGCAGGAAAAAAAGAAGAATCTAGAATCTCACAGAGAACTACATTCAAAGTATATCAGCATGTAGTATCCTCTATATAGACTCTGAACAATCTTACTGAATTTGTCTTCATTAAGGCAAGGATAAACTCACTGTAACTGACATATGTAAGTGTTAGGGAAGAAATAAATAGGTCACAAACAAAAAAATATTTTTGTTAAAATTATTTGGCATGAACTCCTCCCTGCTATGACAGAATTATTTGAAAGATTTGAAATAACTGAGATTCTTCTGTGGAAACAAAGGAACATCTTATGAAAATATGTCAATAAAATTAGAGCTAAAAAGTCATAAACCTCTATAGAAAAGGCATAACAAGAAACTATAATGAACTATGCTACCGTTTATTACTTATTTTGAGTCACTTTATAAGAAATAAATTTGGTTAGGGTGTTTGCAACAGCATAAGAGCTTTATGTGGGTATAGTGAGTCTGAACCTGCAAGGTATTGAAAGGTCTCAGCTCCTTGTAACTTTTATATTAGTGCTAATCCTATTTTTTCTTAGGAGACTTTTGACATCTAATAGTATCAGCTCAGATTTACATAGAAGCCTCATTATGAAATTAATTTTAATCAATTATGTAAATATTTCTACTGTCTAATGGCTGTAATTACTTCAAATGTACAATTTAGAAGAAAAAAATGAAAAATGGCCATTGTCTTTTAAACAGAAGTTATATGTTCAGTATCTAAATGACTTTAATAACCAATATGATCAGAAAGTAATAGAGGTTAAGAGTATTTGTATATACCTCATTTAGTCATGTCTGAGAAAAGAAAATTCTGATTTCCTAGCAATACAACCAAATATTTGGTAATTATACAAACAGAAACAGAATCTAAATGATAACAGACTATCAGAAATGGTTTTGTACGGGTTTGTCATAGCATCACTGAATCCTGATCTGCAAATGCAACAGTATTCAAAGTCAAACAGACTGTTAGTGTAAAAAGTACTATTCTTCTCATTCAGAAAGCAGAAGTATATCAGGGATTCTGAAATGTCCTTAGGAACTCAGGCAGCATCCTGACTGGATTTCCCTCTAGGTTGGACCACCTTCAACAGAATTCTTCCATACACTAGTTAATTGAAACTCTCAACTTATTTTAGAGAATTTTTTTTTGTTCATGTCAAAAGCTATTTCAAATGAGGTGCAAAAGATGAAGAAATTCATATCACTTCCTCATTAAGTTTAGCAGACTTTTCAAAACCCCTCAAGCATTTTCCAAAAAAGTTGTGAATAAAGGTACAATTCATTGAAAGGAATATGAAAAGAACTCTGCAAAAGAGAATATAAAAATATATGGATGACTGTAAGAAAAAAGTAAGGCTGACAGGACAGCTAATCTTTGCCATTGGCCAGAGGTGACTGCAAAAAGTATCATCTCACTGAGATAGCAAAGAGCCAATTAACTCAAGCTCCTGTGCTTGGGAAAGATTGCAGAAATTGTACAGAACAATCCGACATGGCAACACTGCGTAATCTCTTAAAGTGCTATGCACAGTTGATTTTAAATTCTTATGGTTATATTCAAAGATTTACAGATGACATTGAAGTCCTAAACATTTTCCTAAAGAATTACTGTAAAACACGTTTTGATAAAAAATGAACACGTCTTTATAGTTCAGTGAATAGTCTGAGCTATACTTTCTATGAGCAATGATGTATGCAACACATTTTGTTTAATATAATACATATCATTTATCTTTTTATCATTCATCATTTCATAAAGTTTAAGCTCTGAGAGAAGTTACTAATCATCCAATATCACAAACAAGTTTCATTCAAGTCACCTGCAGAAGAGACCCATTTTAAGCTCATGTATAAGTACATGGGGGAGAAGTTAGGATGAAGATGCTTAGAAAACACAGTTAAGTATAGAATGAAGTGAAACACTGAAAACTGAATTCAGTTGACAACTACACTTGTGATCTACTGGCTGTAATGCCATAATTTCAGAGATTTTTCTCTGAAATCATAATAATTCAAAGGGAACTTTGATTCTGCATCACTCTTTGAATAGTATCGTTCAACATTCATAAGTCAAATGGCGCATCAAAGCAAAACTGGTACACATGCATGCATTTTCAACTCTCAGACCATAAGTTTAACCCGGTAAGAATCTCAGCACTGCACACACAGTTCTTTACTTACTCTCCTACCTTCCCCAAGAAAACATGGGAGAGAATCGGAAAAACAAAACAACAAAGTAGATCTTGTGGGATGAGATAAAAGCTGTTTACTAGGACACACATAACAAGGAAAAAAATACATAACAGCAATTTTGATCATATAAATGTGCAGGTGATGCACAAGGAGTTGCTCACCACCCACTGATTGATGCCCAGCCAGTCCCCAAGACCAGCCTGGTGTTTTTTTGCATGCTGCCATATGGTATGGAATATTCCTTTGTCCAGTTGAGTTCTATCCTCTCCCAGCTCCTTGTGCCCTCCAACCAACCCTTTGCTGGCAGGGCATCACATGAACCTGTAAAACTGAAATGTCCTTGCACTTGTACACAGCAACATCTAAAACAGTCTGTTATCAATAGTGTTTTTTATCCAAAAGATGAAACATAGCATCTTACCAGACATTATGAAGGAAAAAATCAACTCTGTCTCAGTTGTAACAAGGACAACAAAATAGCAATATTAAGACAGTAGAGGTTCCAGAATTTAGTGATCTTCTCCTGTTTTGTCTACACTTTTTGTTTAAGGGAAGACAAAAGCAAGTGTAGAGTCTTGCATCTGGGGAGGAATAATTCCATGCACCAGTACAGGTTGGGGGATGACCTGCTGGAGGGGAGCTCTGCGGAAAGGGACCTGGGTGTCCTGGTGGACAACAGGCTGGCCATGAGCCAGCAGTGTGCCCTTGTGGCCAAAAAGGCCAATGGCTTACTGGGGTGCATTAAAAAGAGCGTGTCCAGCAGGTCGAAGGAGGTGATCCTCCCCCTCTACTCTGCCCTGGTAAGACCGCATCTGGAGTACTGCATCCAGTTCTGGGCTCCCCAGTACAAAAAAGACAAGGATCTCTTGGAAAGAGTCCAGCGGAGGGCCACGAAGATGTTGAAGGGCCTGGAGCATCTCTCCTATGAGGAAAGGCTGAGTGATCTGGGTCTGTTCAGCCTTGAGAAAAGAAGACTGAGAGGGGACCTGATCCAGGTCTATAAATATCTAAGGTGTGGGGGGCAGAATGGCGAGGCCAGACTGTTTTCAGTGGTGAGTGGAGACAGGACAAGGGGAAACGGCTGGAAACTGCAGCATAGGAAGTTCCACACAAATGTGCGCAAGAACTTCTTTACAGTGAGGTGACGGAGCACTGGAACAGGCTGCCCAGGGAGGTGGTGGAATCTCCTTCTCTGGAGATGTTCAAGACCTGCCTGGATGCCTCCCTGTGCGACCTGCTGTAGGGAACCTGCTTTGGCAGGGGGGTTGGACTCGATGATCTCTGGAGGTCCCTTCCAACCCCTACAATTCTGTGATTCTGTGATTCTGTGAAGAACAAATTTTAACTATTGTCTTTCAAATAACTTGAAAGGAGTCTTCCAACTTCAATAATTCTGTGATTCTCTACCCTAATTTTTCTCATTCGGACATCTCAGAACAAAATAGGAATAAATAAAACAAGGAGTTAACTTCACTTCATTTAGCAAATGACAATGAAAAATATCTATTTGCGTAAAACACTCTTCAGTCAGGGTATATATTTTTAATACAGCATATTGCAGAGTTGATGTTTGAGAGTTAAGCATGTGTCACATTCAAGAAGATAATTGAATTAATCACTGTTGGCTTATGTAAACAACTACTTATCAAAGAAGTATGTCTACAATGCAACAAAAAATGTGTTTTGTCCAAGATATCAACAGGCTGTTGTTATGTTTGGTAGCACTGTCAAACTCCTATTGCTAAACTTTTGTCACTAGAGCTATTTATGGTGATAAAAAATATCTAGGAGAAAAGCATGGTCTAGAGAGAGATTTTTCAAATTCTTAGTCTAGAAAGAAAGGAAAGCTTTTTGTTCAATTCTCTGTAAGTACACACCCACAGGCAAAAATTACACTTGAAATTATTCATTAAAAAAAAGAGAATTTGAGAAATGCGTAGCAACTGAAACAAAATTTTAGAGTGGAAATCTCAAGATAACTTCAACTAGAGTCGTCATTATGGTGCTGGTTAACATTCCACATTAATAGAGATACTGCAATTACCTCCCTTGAATGAATATCTCTGAACCAGCCAGATATAACTGAAACACAGTTCTAATGAGCCATATGCAAATCTCATTATTCTGTGATACTGGTTGAGATAATGAGTAGCCTAGATTTATGTGGTATAATGCTTTGCACAAAGAATTTTCTTTCAGGATAATACTGGGCATAGTTCAGAAATAGTTGAACACATAGAGGTGTATTATGGATTTTCACTTTTCTTCTAACAAGTACTAACTACCATTCTGACTCATCAATGCAATTATTTGATGCAAATAGCTTATTTACATCCAAGAAGATTACGTGATTAATGAAAAAAATAAAATAAAATTAAATGAATACAAAATTTTTATATTTCATTTTTCTCTTGACTAAAACTTCTGAAAGAATAAAGTGTCTTATTGCAATAGAGAAAATTTTCTACCCCCTCTTCCAGTTAACTTTCATAAAGGTCATGTTTTGGTAACAAATCATCTGCTTCCAGGAATCAGAAAGCATATGAAAATCAACAAGCTTTCAGTTTATCCTGGTTCTGATATAATATTAATGCTGAATCTCCATTTACACAGAAGCCCTAGTCAGAATTGGAGAAATGTCAGATGGAATAGTCTGCTTATCCAAGTCATCAAAAGAAGGCTGATGGGACCAGTTATTCCCTGAGATCACTAAAGAGATTGGTTAGACCACAAACCTGAGGATGAAAGATAAGACAATGAAAAAACTGTCCCCTGAATGTCAGGTATGCTAAAGGAGTGATGGCTGAGAAGAGGTAGCACTACCTGTGAGAAGCAGGGAGGAGAGAATCTCTGTAGAATTTTGCATACTATGTTTTAAAGGGACTGTTAGAATGTGGGAGACGCTAGGGTATTCAGGAAGGACCAAAGGTGGAAAAAGGGAGGGGTTAAAGGACTGGGGAGGAACAAGCACAGGAAAATAGAGGGAAAAGGGGGTAAAAGTGGTTGTTTGAGCTTGAAGAGTCTCTTGATGAGTGTGCTTCTCTAACAGAGCCCTATGCTTGATGCTACAATTTATGCTATATTCTGCAGAAGGAGAACTGTGAGGAAAACACAAGCCTGCATAATTATTTCAGGAAGAAAAGGGGAAAAGAAAGAGGAAATCAAAAAGGAAAAAGGGGAAAAAGAGAAGAAGGAATAGGGAAGAGAAGAGTTGAAGATTAGACCCTGATTAATACAGCACTGAGAGGTTCATAAGTATTTTTACACAGAACTACTTGTTTATATAATTACCATAAGAAAGTAAATATTTTGGGCACTATGTAAATGCGGAGACATAGTTTTTTACTTATTTCCTTTACCAAAAACTATAAAGAAATGTATCTAAATGAGCTTCTTTAGACTTCAACAGACAAAATAGACATAGGAGAAGTATGCAAAAATATGAAGAAGAGTAGAAATTGCCATAAAATCAGGGCACTGAGATCTGAGGTCTGAATAAGGAGGACATTGCATTTGGGGAAAATAGGACAGAGCAAACTTTAAACATACCAGATGGGAAGCATAAAAAGAGCTGGCACAGAGTATGCAACATGATCTCTGAAACTACTCACAGTAACATATTTGAAGTTCTATGATGGATTCTACTCTAGGATATTCACTGCTATGTGTCAATAAGCAAATAGGCAGCCCACCTGATGGAGAGCTCCAACAATTTTCCTTGCTTCTTGGTAGACTGTCTCAGCGCTCCAGTGGCTGTTGATGGTTTTGAGGGCCCGGGCCAGGCGGTTGTGCTCTCTCAGCCACAGTGTGTGCATGGCTGTCAATGATGTGACCTCACTCGATCGGCTGTCCCCAGCCATAAAGCATTCAATCCTTTCATCTTCACGTTCATTTGAGTCCTGTGCACAAGGTGATGGAACCCGGTCTGTAAAAGGCAGGTATTCATGACCATTATCATGATGTTTATTGTTGACTTTGAGAAGGCCTTCTTCACTTGTTAAATTCCTCAGCTTGTTTTCAACAGTGGAAGTGCTCCCATAGACAGTAGAAGCATCAATGAAAGAGGTTAAGCCATTGATCTGTTGTCTTGGATTTAGTGCTGATAGATTTCCAAAGAGAATACTGTGATCACCAATGCCACATGTAGGAGATGAGCGATAGAAGGGCAGGCAATCCATGCCTTCGGATAATGTATCATTGGTTGTTACCTGTATAACAAAAACGCGGAATTTCTGAGCTGAAGGCAACACAGATGTTCAATTAAGTTTTGCATAAGTATTTCTACCCGTGGTCTCCTTTTTCAGTTGTTTCCCAGGTCTAATGTAAGGATGTGACATTCTCTAAACTCATAGAGACGGTCTTCTCTCTCCTTCAGATTTAAGTGAAAAGATGTTTCAACAACTTTCAAGAAAAGACAGAAATAAATTAAAACATTTGCTCTATCATTAGATCAAATTACTGATGTTATACCTTTTGAGTAGTTCTATGCCTAAATTAGCCCGTTTTCACATTTAAAATTCATCACAGAATGTATCACAGTGAAGATGTGAACATCTGGTCAAATAATGTTCTGCTGAGCACCAAATGAAACAGGAGGTTTACATGTGTACATAAAAAAGTAATGAAGAGTTTCAATGTCTGCAGTAGCATGCCATAAGAGCACTGTTTCAATACTCAATTTTAATCAGGCGACAAAACTAAAGAAGGCATACATAATTATTCACTCTGCCTTCTGCTGGTCCCATAAGCATTCTCCTACATTATTTTATGGGTTCGGCTTTTCTTAGAAGTTTTAAATCATAGTTATAGAGACTTTTGAGTTGGAAGAGACACTTAAGTGTATCCAGTCCAACTCTCCTGCGGTGAAGAGGGACACGGACACCTACATCTAGATCAGGTTGCTCAGAGCCCCATTCAGCCTGACCTTTTTGACTGTCTTTATGAAAAGCAAAGAATGCTCTACTCCTCACAAGCAAAAGCCTTTCCAGTGCTTTGAACCTCAGGCAGCCAAGATGCTCAGATGATTGGTGATCCAATGTTTCTCCACTAGTCAGCATGGATATAGACTATTGCTCAGTCAGCTACTCCAAATTCAGGTAAAGAGTATGGGTGAGATATGTGGAAATTATCTAATGGAATCTTGTGATACAAGTAAGGGCATGAGGGAAGAATACAACCCAAATGAAACAGCTGGAAGGTTTGCCACTGGGGAACATACAGAAAGGTATGTGAATAGTTTAATGGCTGTAGGCTGTAGAAGAGATGTTGGAGGGTGTGAGGGAAATGGAAGAAAGAAAGACTTTATGTGCACCCTATGATATTTAAGAGGAAGACTCAGATGAGCAATTTTATTTCAAAGAACAGAGTTCATAACTAAATAAAAAATCACCCGTTTCAAAATGACTAAAATGTATCTTCATTGTCAAATGCATATTTGACATTAGGAACTTTGTTTTGTTTTGTTTTTGAAAAATACATTATTTCCAAATGGTAATAGCTCTCCATTGTGCAACAACGAGTCATAGTAGTGAGTTAGTTCCAGGAGTTTTAGAAAGATTAATATCAATTTAAAATGTTACCAAATGATGGATTCTGAGTTTTGTGGAATATAAAACTTTTTTTTTAACCAACTGGTCAACATGAAATAGGAATAGAAAGCACTAAAGCTGCTTCAATATCTGAAAATAAAATTGTCTTCAAATAATTAACTAATAATAAATAAATATTTTGTGTGGAAATGTGAGCAAATCGTTTTCCTTTGCATTATATTTTCTTGCTGTTCACATTTGAAAACTCCTTGGCAGAATACTGTTAATACTGCAGATGTTATATGAAATAATTTCTTCTTCGTACTTCTAAAAACAAAGGGACTACTCATTGAATTGGGAATAAAATATCAGACAACTTTGGAATAGAATGAATGAGTTTCACTTAACAAAAACCTTAGCTCACTTATTATACCAAGTAATTTTCTTACTACTGAAAACTTGTGGCAGCAGGAATTGGTATCAATAAAACATTTAGGTTAAGAAAGGATTTTGTATGTTTTTAGTTTTGTTTGGTGAAGAACTTCTACAAATATTCCTACACGTTAGATACCAACAAATTTAAGTAGGTTAGTTTTGAGGGAAATACCTAATTTATTATCATTTTTCTTTTCTTCACTGATTACTAAAGTCAGTAATTTTACTCCCTTGGATTTGCCATGTAGTGTTTTTCCCTATGTTTATGTCTCTTTCTACTATTGTGGCTTCTTTTTCTCTTCAGTTGGTAATATAAGCAGGAAGATCATTTCACAGTACAGACACCTGAACTCAACAGCCACAGCGTAGTATGTATTTGAGTGCCTCTAGCTTCTAGTTAAGAGGAAAGCCTGGAAGAAATCAGGTATAATTGGGAAAAATGTAAGAGTCGCCTTTAAGTTGTTGAGCAGTGTGGCTCACAGCAAAACATATCAACAGTGAATGAAGTTCATAGTGAATAATCTTCGGTTAACTGCCTCTGCAGTTTCAATTCAAATTGCTCTGTGCCCCAGTGGAGAAAAGCAGCAGTAATGAGCATTAAGGGACTGCAGAACTGTATAATGTAGTCTTTTCCCTTTTCATGGGATAAACAGCATGCAGCCAGCAGCTGAATGTGCAAATAAGAGATTCCTTATGTTATTATTCAGATTACATCAGAAATAATCAGAGAAAATTAAAAGTTTTTTTTCCTTCTGAAATGATTATAGAATAACATTTTTGTTCAGTACTAAATTAATATCTTTTTTTTTTTTTTTTTCCTGTCCTTGTATAATTCTAAAGGGAAAAATATCAGAAATAAATCCATCTCTGGCCACAATAGTTTTCCAGGTACAGCTGCATGCTGATTGAAACCGACTAAATGTTAACAGTTATGCATAGTAGAATCTGCTTACAGTGAAATTTTTCAATGTTTAGGAATCAGTAATTGTTTCAGGAGACCACAATTTCTAGGCCATGACCACATTTAAATAAAAGCCTTTCTTGCTGTGAATTTGTTCTATGTCAAATAGTCTCTTTGAAAAGAATTTTTGCTGTTCTTAAGTGAGAGAAAACTTACTTATGGTTAAGAAAGTTTGTCCTCAAGGAAGACATAAATGCGTGATCTTAGACATGAAGATCAGAAAAGAGTCCATCTAACAGCTAATTGCTACCTCTGAAATGCAGAAGAAAAGGCAGATACTCACTCTGCTGGCTGTCTAATACACAGACTGATCTTTTCTTAGCTAGGACAGGAACTTGCCATATTATGTAACACCTTTGTTTCTCCCTTTCTTTTCCAGCTTCTGTAGCTGATCTAATCAAATGAAAGCATTTCAGGATCATATCTTGTTATAATTATGTGCTATGCCTATCTTAATATCAACAATATAACTGTTATTGAATAAAAACAGTAGTTCTCCTCTGAAAGTCTTTCTAATGTTTCACTGTGTCTCAGCTCTAGCCTAAAACAATCATTGGAAGAATGACAAATTCTCAGCATCCCGCTTCCATGTGTCAGGCCTCAAAAAAAGCTAGTTTATTATTATTGTTGTTCATACTATGGTATTCTAAATAGATAAGTACAGAAACAAGATAAGTACAGGCTCAATGTGAGAATCTCTGAGTGACTCTCTATAGCCTTTATTATGAAATGTCCAGAACAGGAAATCATAATATTTCCTGCTAACCTATAAATAATTTACTTACACTTGTCATTAATATTAATGCACTTTTGCAAATTTCAATCTGTCTTTGAACTGCATTGTCTCATAACATTTTCCAGACACCTTTCCTAATTTGCACAGTCAAGAGCTGCCTTTCTCAAGTGAAAGCCCTGGAGTGGTCATATGGCTGAGCACATTTGTCTTCTCATGTGTTTGAATTTTCCTTTGGGTGCCCCTGTTCTAGATACACTGAAAGAGTGCAAACAGCAGCCTCTGTGTTCACATTGTTGGATAATACCTTATCAGTTTCAATACCTCTGGAAAGCAGCTGCAGTATCTTCATATAAAAAAATGAATGCATGAAACTAAACATGGCTGTTTTCAAAATATTTGCCAGGTAGATGTTAGCTTTACTGAAGACTTGACAAAAGTGGTCATACTAGATATATAATACTAGATATATAATAAAAACAAAAGAACCACCATCTTCATATCTGTCCTTCTTTAAGCGCAAATAACAGAGGAACAAAAAGAGGCTGAAAATTAATGGAACTATAGTAAAATAATGAATTCAGAAGTCAGAAAGCTTATCTAAAACAGGATTGCATCTGAATTTCTTTATTTTTTTTTCCCGTGGCCATTCTGGCTATCAGACACTGAATCCCAATGGTGATCAAGAGTTCTGTTATGACCCCACTCCTCTGGTAGGCTATATAATACTGTGCAAGAGCAGCTTCTGGGCCAGATTCATAGCTAACTTTAGGACATACACATGTAATTTGTCTTCACAGCAAATTGAAACACACTCTGTGATGAAACTCTTCACAACTCCAAGATAGAAACAGGACTTATGCCCTTTGTTTACAACTTTTCTTATACAGCAAAGTTACTGGTATATGGATAACTCTAGCTTTGGAGTCCTTTCTAGAAGATCCCTTAAACTGCCTTCCTTTTTGAGCTGATGGGATTTCTAGGCAGCTTAAACTAGTCAGAGATCAATGACTAGATGCCCATGGCTCCTGTGATTCATGTTTGATTCAAAGAACACTATGAGCCTGTTCTCAATTTAAAAGTCTGATCACTAATTATTTTTTATGAGTATGAGGACTCTTACTTTCACATGAGAATGAGGGCTTTTTGAAGTTAAAGATCAGTATTGGTTGTACATATGGCACGTAGAAAAACAAGAATCATAGTCTTTCAAAGATTTCTGCAGTTTTATATCTATGGTATAGTAAGTAAACCATATTTTAAAAATGGGATACAATATGTAACCATATTCTGTCATATGGTGGCTTCACCCGCTACCTCTTTCATCAGGTGACGTGAAGCACTGCTTATCAGGGATGGGCTTTCTGCCCTAGCTTGTCCTAATAAATGAATGGGAATATTTCTGTGATTATTAATTAAGAGCATAAAGACAGGAAAACATATACTAGCCAAAAGATGTAAATTTGAGCCAGATAGAAATCTGTCCATCTTTGTCATTGTGGCTAAATCAGGTTAACCAGTCACTCATACATTAAATACTTAAGATGTGATTTGAGAATTTGACTCCCTAAGACATCTGTGTTCTTTCTGAACACTCTCAGCTATGTCTGCTGACTTTCAATAGTCCAAATCTCTAAGAGAGAATAAATTTACCTGACTGTGGTAAAAATGCAGGCAGTCATTAATTTCACTTAACACTCCTTAGGGATTATCTCACTGACTGGAAGATGAGCCACCTTTCAACACAGGGCCTAATTCAGTTCTCTTAACAGTCAGAAGAATATTTTTGTGTTTAATTGAAGTGGAATGAGGCACTTATATCAAAAGGAGACTCTGGTACACTCATCAGTTACATTTTGATGTGGGAAAAGAGTTTTCGACTCTGATGGAACTTGCACGCTGTGCAAACTTCAGTGCATAAAGAAGCTGATCAGTAATTAAGCTCCAGCCCAAAGAAAAGTAATTTACGTTGCTCTGAACACAAATTCATGCATCAGTTTAAGGGTTATGATAAACATAACCCTCCTGCAGAATAAAGTAATGGTCTGTGTTTTGAGAAACAAAAAATGTATTTTGACTTTGCCACTTGTTTTTTTTTTTTTGAGTGAAAGAATGCTTATACTTTCAAATCAATTGGCAAGATAGAATTCTATATTTATACCAGTTTATGTTCTTTCCAATTTCCTAACAATCTTTGAATTCAAATTTTCCATCTATACAAAGCAAAGATGTGATGTATGTAACTTTCAGCAACCCCTTGCAGACTGTTTTATACATACATTGAAATGTTACTTTAAAAACAAAAGTATTTTATATAATATTTTATATAATATTAAAGACGGCACTTTAGAAAAATAATTATTTCTTATCTATTTCTCTATTCTCTGTGATAGAATTCAGAACGTTGACGCATGAAAACAATAATACTGGGGGAGACATAAAGTTTCTCAGCAACATAAACTTGAGAAGTAGAAAAATATATTTGTACTAAGTACTATAGCTGTAGTTTGTTATCTCTGTAAAGCAATTTAAATCTGTACCTGTTTCATGTTATAATTACACTATATATCAATACTTCTATCACCATCTGCTGTACTGTTGGTGGTCTACCAGTTTCCTTTGCAATTATTTTAGCATATGTATGTCTCTAATGTATTTTACATTATTCACTTGTCTAGAACCTGGAGTTTGTCTTGAAGAAATTCATTTAAAGTCTTACCTTTATCGGAAAGCATGGATTTTGTCTTTCACATGTCATCTGACACTCCTTTCCTGTTAAAAAGCTGGTTCTACTTATGCTCTGAGGTGTGAATGAAATGTCATGGTCTATGTACTGTCCCCACACCATAATGATGTCAGAATATAGGTTGTCTTCGGTGACAGCCTCGTTAGATGCGTGAATTATCTTCCTTGTCACCTCTCGAACCTGGGAAAAGAACTAATTTACCTTGAGTGTCAAGCAGTTCTTCTCACAATCTGATAAAACAGTACAATCAGGATGAACAGTAATAAAAGGTATCTTTTCCCACACCCCCTCCTTGGAATACTTCAGATTGCAGAGTACTTTTAATGGCTTGCTTGAAGAAAAGAAAAAGAAAAGAAAACAAAACCAAAATCTGACAGTGTTAGTTCTGTTCAGGAGCTGAAATACTGGTGCCCAATGCAGATTAAAATGTTTCAGTTAAGTTTCCTATGTATTTGCCAAATGATCTGTGTATCTTTGATTTGTTCCTTCTCAGAGAATTTTGCAAACCTTGTGCTTTTCTTTATTCTGACTACAAGTTTTCTTTCTATTTTTTTGTTTTCTTTTCCTTTAACAAATGGATTCTGCTGAGCAACCTCTGATCAGCATGGATACGCAGCGGTTCTGGCCTGTTCTGAATAAAGAGATCGTTTTATGCAGCCCAGAAGACGGCATGGTAGCAAATACATGGTAGCTGGAAACTCTGCTTCATTATTCCAGGTAGGGAGAAGCCACAAGTATTTCCTCAATCACTTCTGTGAAAATTACACAGAGATACAGATGCTCTTAGAGGGAACATGTGGAGACACCAGTGCTATATGCTCAGCTGACATTGATTGCTAACTGAAGCCTTTGGAGCAAAATCAGCAGTCAGTTTGATATGATTAGGATATCGATATTATTCACAATTTTTTCCCTCATGCTGCAAAACATTCCATCAATTAGGAGTCAAGCAGTTGAAAGGGCAGCACATAAAGCAGAGTAAAAGTCTGTAATAAATATGAGGGTTATATAATGAATGCATAAGGCAGATATAGTTAAATAGAATCTGTGAGGACAAGAAGCAACATGGGACTTGCTAAGAACACCAAGTCTTTATACTGAAATAGTCAAGGGCAGAGACATATGGCACTCATCAGAAATACAACTCCTCATATCAGTATTCTAATAACTTTCATGGTCACAAGTCTCAATTTTTTTTTCTTCCAGTTAGGAAGATATTCTAATTGGAGTTAAAGTTCTCAACCATGTTGCATTCTATCACTTTACAATAATTCTCAAGCTTCAAAGAATCATAAAATCATAGAATCATACAATGGCTTAGGTTGGAAGAGATCTTAAAGATCTGTGAGCTTCCACTCCCTAACATGGGCAGAGTTGCCAATCACTAGATCAGGCTGCATGACCTTATCTGCTCTTGAACGTCTCAGGTTGTATTTATACTTTACATTCACTTTATTTATTAGTTTCTTTTTAAAGATTATGAGTAGTTAGTTAATAGTAAAAAAAAAAAAAAAAAAAAAAAAAAAAAGATGAAATAATGTAAATGGTGAAAAACAGCTATGGTGAAATGTAAATGTTGAAATGTAAAACGTGAAATGTAAATGGTGAAAAACAGGCACTAGTTTTATCATATCTTCCAATTAAAACAGAGTAGCTTTCTGGTTGTCAGATATGATCAAGTTCTATGAAGCCATATAAGGTTTTTTAAATGTGTTTTACTTCATAAGTATGTGCTGTAATGAATCTAAAAATAGGCAGTTTGTAAAGCCTGGAAATTTACTTGTGCAAATGTCAGATTTTCCTCTCCAAGCACTAAATCATGTAGTTTAGAGAGAATGTTATTTAATTAATAACATGAGTTGCAGGTGACATTAACACTAAATTCTCTTTTTCATCCTTATTAAACACGTAGTGGTTAAAATAACAAGATTTTGAGCCCATTAAAAGTCAAGTTTCAAGAAATGATGACAATCCAGGAATAGTAAGTCTAGCTCAAATCATTGTACACTGCAATGGGAATTTTTCACTCAGTCCCCTTCTCAGATACATTTCATTCAAACTCTCCTCCCCGCTATTTACTAAGCATTCAGGCTTCAAAGATTTGTAAATACTGCAAAGTCTTCTTAGTTTAGTAAATTGAACTTTCTGAAAAATAAAATTCTGGCTTGGCTCTCAGAGATTTCCAATGAGGGATACTCCAGTAGTAGACTAGTTAGTTTATTGTGACATTTAATTTTTCTCACAGCAAAGCATTTTCCTTATATCAAGAAAAATATGGAGCAACTTGTAGCTATTGGCTCTTGCTTTGCCAGTGTGCATCACAGTGAAAAAGTACCTTCCTCCTTCTGTAATGCTCTCTTCAGCATGAGAGTACTGTGTCTAGGTCTTGTCTAGGTCTACCATCTGGTTCCTTTCCTCAAGGCTGAGCAATAACCCTATGTCTACTGGTTGCTCTGCAACTGGAGGGAATCCTGCCCACTCTTTTTGTGGTCCAACTTCTTTTGCTGTTTGATTTATAGATGTTAATTCAGGCTTTTTTGTGACAGATACATTTATGGCCAATGTTTCACTTGGTATACTTTCTAACCAGGGGTAGCTGGACTCCATTGTATCGAACGCTGGGATCCCATCCTCGAGGTTGACTGAGTCCATCTTCATAGGTTGGCGGGAGCCATCTAGCCAAGGCTGTGTTGGATGCTCCCCATCTAGTATGTTCCCTGGGAAAAAAAGAAAACAAAAAAAAATTGCGCACAAAGAATTTTCACCTCTCAGTAATTCTGAATATAAAATAATTGTCAGCCACAGGACAATATTTCCTTGTAACAAGATGTTCAGATAATGTTCTTGGCAAAGGAATCAATTATTGGTCTTCACATATGCCAACATCAATTTAACAAGAAGGGATGCTGACTCCTGTTTCTAATTTATGTTGGCTACCTTTTGACGTCTTTGAAGTACTTGCCCATGTTTTTTTAAAAGACGCATTTTTTAAAAGATGCTCTTTCAAGTGATAGCTTGGGAATCAAGATTTAGGAGAATGTGATGGACTCTTACTATAAAAGTGAAGAAAGCTGAAAAGAAAAAATGGGTACTAGTCATACAGAGGTGACCATTTAACAAGATCTCAGAAGAAAGAAGAATTAGAGGAGAATGATGCTTTAAACTGTTGGATTCAATAGCAGAGCTCTTACTGGTTGTGTCTGGGTTTTTTTGGGAAGGCCTGTGAACAAGCCTAAGCTCTGCTATGCATTTAGTTGTTAAAATCATCCAGTGTTTCTCTAATCAACAACTGGCTGTGCACACCTTGGGATTAGTGCAGGCCAGATTTCTATGCTGCAGCCAGCCTTTTTGGAAGAAGGTAGGAGTGTAAAACGGCTCAGACAAGAGCTTAAGTACAAAAGAATGTAGTTAGCATTAAGGTCATCCTTGATTAAATAGTCATGAAATTATTCATGGTCTTTTCATTTATTAGTTCAGTCATCGAGTCTTGGGCTTGACCCAGTTAATTTTCCTACTATCGTGAAAATTTCTATTGCATTTTCCCTAAGAGGAGAATATTTTAGGTTTTTTTAATGTTTGTCAATTTTCTTCACATGATCTGTGCAGTATGTTTTATTATATATTGCTAAATATATGATATTAACAAGAAATACAATTTTAGAAATGCATGCAGTGATTTCTGACAGTAGAAATATAGCATGTTACAGCAAGTTTATATTTCTTTTGGGTACTAAAGAGAGAGCAGTTACTTTATTAATCCTTCATTGATCTTTAGCTCACTGATATGACTCAATTTGCCTAGTAATATGATAGAATAATACACTTAATTATCCACAATAATTCACATTTGAAGGTTGAAGTATGTTTCAACAAGGCATTCAAATTAGTTACAGTTGATTTATCTTTATTGAAATTGCATAAAATGCTGCACATGTAGTGCTATTTCACTCAATTAAAAATAATGAAATGTTAATTTTGCTGCTTAACTAGTGATTTTTCTCCTGATTGCTTTTATATTGTAGCAGCTCACTGGAATGCTACTTTATTAAAACCCGGCATCTCGGATGCCCTGTTATTATTCTATTAAACATGTTGATGTCTTGGAATCTTGCATGAGTTATAAATGTTTTAACTAGGGTAGATGAAATAATGAGAATTTGGTATCATTATACACTTATAAAGTAGTCAAATTTGATAATGATACATTCTGTTTCTGGGAAGTGGAACTTTTCCTTCACTTGTGAAACAGTAGAATTACACTATCTGGATATTGCTTTGACTCCCTTAGGTGGAAACTGGAATTTTGAGATACTGCTTACTATCCAGATTTATGTCTTTCGAATGACACCTAGCTTCTATTTAAATGAAGCTGCCATTCAAATGAAAACATCTCAATTTCTTTTCCTAGTCAATGGATTCAGTCCAGATTGGACATTCTTTACTCTGGATGTACCATATTCAAATCCATAATTCCTACAGTATTAGAGCTTCGAAGTAACCATCAGGTACTTGCCTGATAAAATTATTAAAATCACAAAAATGAAACAAGAATCTGACAGATAAATTTCCTTTTAGATACTCAAATAGCAAGCATAAAAAATTTTTATATAGTTATCTAGACTCCTGGCATCAGCCCAGAAAAGAGTGCCATCCAGTCATTCTGTACTATCTCTCACTATCAGAAATAACACTCAATCTTGCAGTAGAAATATCAGTATCTCAGAAAGGTAAGATTAGAGGACATTAATTTGCACTATGAGATGCCTTTCTTTTAGTATCTGTAATTTCTCTACCTTTGAATATCTTTCATTGCCCTAAACATTAAAAAACAACAACAAAAAAAACAACCAACAAAACAAACAAATAAACAAACAAAAACCCATCACAGATCAATGCAGTTAGTTGGGATAAAAATGAACAAACAGAGGAAACCAACTTTGGCATTCCTTATCTTCCACTTTTCTTAATTATTATTGTACATTTAGTTTGCTTATTATCCACACGTAAGCCTTCAGACACACAAAAACGTAACATTTGTTGATACGTGCTAGTGAATGAGGATAATGATGGGAATGTTTAATGTCACGACAATATTCTCCAAAGAAAGCCATGCTCATGCTGTTCTGTTATGCCTTTGTTCTAGGAATTTTATGGAGAAATAAACTCTGTGCTGGCAGAATAAATATTTTGTAATTGTGCTGGTTTGTCCCATATATGCAAATTGATTAAGCAAAGAATCTGTTAAGAGATTCCAAGCTCACTTTTAAATATATTTATCCAGTTTTGCTGTCGTTGTTGTTGTTTTTTTCTTTTTTTTCTTACAGGCCAATTAATTTTGTGAATGTGAATTTTGTTTTTAAATGCTACCTAAAAAATGCAGGATTTTCTGACCTAAAGCACAGTTGTACATTGCTTCCAGGTAACTAAAATCGTTAATATAATTAAATGCTTTCCACTTGAAATTGCAGCTGTAAAACAGGGAAAACTATGGACCAGTACTTTTCGTTAATGTTTGAAGTTTTCAGCTGGCTTTCGTTATAGAATTTGTTTACATTACAGTATAATGAACCTTTTCGGCTGCTGCTTACTTCAGTAAAGCTTGAGGTACCCGCAGAGTTTTAGACTAAGATCTAACCTTATGGTTTCAAAGTCTCTATTTTTTATTTTTTGTTACAGTGCACCTTCTACAGATGTTTTAAGTGAAGAGTCTAAAATAAGACAAATGTGAGATATAGTTTAAACACTGGTTTGCTACAATCATACAACTATACAAAGTAGAAAACACCAACTGAAGACTAACCAGACTCAGTGGATCAGTTACTCCAGCCAAGTTTAGAAACATCTTTACACATCCTTGTATTAGTCAAGTTATCACAGAGAAAACAATTTTTTAATTTTCCCTCAACTGTTATTCTCTCCTGAAATGAAGAGAAAGACCTCAGTAACAAAGCCTGCATATTAGAAGCTTCAGCTGTGTGCTTATATTTGGCTGCTTGGCCACTGTTTTCAAGCACCAACAGAGTTCTCAGGGCAAATATTGTACCAACTGTTATTTCAGATTCCAAGCCTGGGGAAATTCACGTATATCCAGATAGATTTATAACATTGATGCATATCGGGTTGTGTTCTTTTGACAAAGAGCTTAACATGCACATTCCTTACAAATGACTTGTGATGCAGAAATACTGATTCATCTCATTAAAACTGAGTGATTTAATAATAAAAGTGCAGAATGTTACCACTGTTCAGTCACCACACTGAATGCCTTAACCTGTGTAATGCTAATCGTCTTCCATTTACAGCTCTGCAGTAGCATATGATTGCAGCCTGACTTTTCATTTGTGACCTTAAGCCTAGGTATCCTGAGGGTAAATATAAATACCATTTATCCTTATACTTGAAAGGTCTCTTATTCTCCTTTTTATATCCTTACTGTATTGAAGTATTTTGAAAATACAATACATTAAGGTGAGTGTTGTAGGAAACAATCCTGATTTATATCAGGGTACAAGTAGACTAATAAGTAAACAATAAACATTCAGCCAATCAGCACATTCATAAAAATGGAAATGTAAAACTAAATATATCACATAGAATTTTTATGTGTATATTCACTAAGCATTAAAGCTGCGAGAGAATAAAAAAATGAGAATCTGTTTGATTTTCTTATTGCTCACTGTGAAGAAGTATTTTTTTTATATTCGATATTGCTCTAATTTAATGAAAGATGGAAGTTGGGTTAGAATTCAATCTATTTTATGTAGAAAATGACATCTACTGAATAAGTCCACCCTATGTTTAAAGCTCTTTACATAATCTTAGAAGCTTTCAAAGGAAGCTGCTCTGCAAAAATTAGTGTACTAAATTTGAGATGAAGAGTCTCTACCCTAGGAGCTTTAAGAGGCACCTCATTTAGAGAGACACTGATTTTAAATGATTTAACAAATCCATCCAGTTTTTCTTGGAAAAATAAATTATTGAGTTTAAAGGAAAAGAAACAGGAAGAAAGAAAGAGGGAAAGAAAGGAAGACAGAAAAAGGAAAGATTTTTCAGGGCATAATCCTTATCATACATACCTGTTATTGCAGGCACCAGTGATGAGTCGATATTTATTAGCTAAGCAATTGTTTGGACATTTTGGTGGCAACATATAAGGCAGACATCCAGAAATGTTAGCAATCATAGTAAGCAGATCAGCTGATAAAAGATCTGTAAGAAAGAACCCAAATATTCTGTTGATATATTGCTTCTATGAGAGAAAATACATTATTGTCAGCGGCAATAACAGCATTTGCTTTTCTTTCTAGGAAAGAGCATTAGTTATACGTGCTGCAGTAGGTAGTCTTAGAGACTTAGAGGAGATAAGAAGTGAAGCGGAAGAGCTATTTTTATTATCTCATGAGTAGAGAATGAAATGGAAGCCATCCATCTATAGCTGAGAACTGAGGTGGACCTTCTTTCTCTCCTTTAATCTCCTCTCTGCATGCTCTTCTCTTTCCATGCATTGTGGTCACATCGTTTGGCCAGTCCACATAGTTAAAATAAAGGTGTAAAACAATGTTGTTGAGAAGCAGATGCATATACCAATGAACAAAATCTTGCGACTGGAAGGATGCTGAAATTTAAGGTGAGGATGGCTGACTGTATAGCTATGTTCAGAGTGGGAGAGGAACAGAATTATTACCCAGAATTTGAGGGCTAGGGAAAAACAGGCTGCATTTCTTTCATGTCAACGCTCACAGTGTGAGTTCTGGCAACCTTTCTCACACACACTGTATGTAAATACACATAGTGCAAGCTGGAATTAAAGATGTAAATGAAGGAAAAGCAACATCCTTCCTGAAACTCTTGCCTTTCAAACTGACTGTAACCCTCATGTGACAAAGCAAAATAGCAGAAGCAGAAAGTGACTATTGCACCTTCCTCCTTACTGCTTCAGGTCAACCAGTCCCACCACTTATCTGTTCTGCTCATTCAACCTTGATCTAAACTGATTTAGTCCATTAATCAAGTGAAAAATGCAAGTCAGAAACAAACAAACAAAGAAAAAAGGTTCAAGAGTCAAATCATCTGAAAAATGTTTCACTGAGCAAGTAGAGTCTGTGCAAGGTAGTGGTGAGAACAGAGAGAGAGAATGGGTTGCTTGACCAGCTATATAATGTTGCTATTATGCCCTAACTACCCATGTTAAATCTGTGGGTACAGATGCATTCACGTGTTAGTTCAGGTTCAAAGTCATGCTCAGAATCCAATTCCCACCATCAGTGTACTGATTCATATGTTTGTTTTAAAATGTTTTGTTCTTTGTTTCACAGAAAACTACCCTTTGACATGGAAAAAAAAAAAAAAAAAAAAAAAAAAAGCATTGGATTTATCCAACTT